AGTATCTGGGAGAGCAGAGGCGTTTTAACTTCCACGTGCCTCTCTCTCCTTCCCTCCTGGAGCTCCACCGAATGAGAACGATGCCTGATATTGCACGTCTGTTTCACATCACCGGGTGCTTTTAGTGTCACCGTGCATCAGAATGTAAATTCTCACCTGATTATTCCTAATGGCTTTGCTTTTCCGTGTTATTAATTCCTTGTTACTAATAATCCCTGACTGTTAGTTAAGAGGCCTAGCAACGGGCTAGAGTCCTGTTAGAAAGGCCACTGCAGAAATACAGGTTGGAAATTACTCTCCTTGCTGCAGAAGTTTTACTTTGCAAAAAGAGATAGTGAGTGCCACGTACAACGAGGCTGTGCTGGTCAGCATCCTTTTCCTATATACTCAGTATTTTGGTAGCTTAGACTGTTTTTTTTTCTCAGCCTTATGGCAGAAGAGTTCTGTGGAATGCTTTGAAAGACAATCAAGAAGATAATACTTACATAGGCTTCCTCCCAGACTGAAGGAGTAGTGTGAGAAGAAAACAGAAATGTTTGCAAGAAAAAAATCTAATGGGATGAAGGAGAATGTGACATAAGCCAAGAAGAGTTGGAATGTGACCTTCGACCGCTGAATGAGAGATGATAGATAGGGTGGGGATAGCTTGTGGAGTGACTGGAAAGCAGTTAATTGTCGCTGTCCTAGAAGATAATTGTAGAAGCGCTCTAAATAGATCTAAAGGAAAAAAAAGTGCACTGCTTAAATCTGAGAAAAGAATGTTAAGATTCAAGAAAAGTGGTTTAGGTGTTCAGATATAATTTATTCTACAAGTTGATGTTGAGTATTTCCTTAGAAATATTCCTCTTTCTGCATGAGTACCCACACTATATGTATTTTGGGTCTTAGTGAAGCCATATGGGCTTTTTTTTAGAACCTTCTGTTAATTTTTCCAAATCTTTTATTAGCAACTTAGGTAAACTGTAATCCTTACAACATTTTACAGATCCCAGGAGATCACCTTTTTTGAAGTTTTATTGCAGGACCGCTGTCTTGCAGCTAGCTCTGAACAGGCAAACCTTCCTGGCAAAGCCTTATTTGAAGCTGGTAGTAGTCTATTGACTCGCATCCAGCTGGTGCCTAGGTTAGGTGGGAAAGAAGAGCGCTCTGACAGCTTAAAAAACATACAAAGCTTGCTTAAATTTGAATGAGTTTGTGCTCTTGCAGTACTGATTGATTTTTCTTCTCCATTAAATCTTATCTTTTAATTTAGGATACTGTTACATTAAAGAAGTCTATGGCAATATATAATGAAAGAATTTATCAAAATAAGTTTGAGGATTGTAGAATTACGCAGGCAAGATAAATCGTGTCAAATGAGCTAGTTCTAAAATGGCTAAAATACTTCGCTGTCAAAGTGCAGCCTATAGGTAGACTGACACATTAGAGAACACTTCTGAAGTTTGATTTTCTTTGTATCAATTTGATGTCTGTCATCTATAATTATTTTAGCTCTGATCAGTCCATGATATGAAGTCCATTCACATAAGTTCTTCTGGTATTAGACTCAAAAGTTACCCTATGATGCTCATAATCATGCTACAAAGGTCATAAAATACTTGACTTTGAACCAGTTATTGAGACTGATTGAGGCACTGTCTTTACTTGAGAAAATAAAACTTGGGGTGGGAGGAAGGAAAAAAAAAAAGGCTATCTGGAAGTCTGTTTAAAAAAAAAAAAGAGGGGGGAGGGAAGGCTAGGCTGTTTTTAGTAGAGAAGGTTAATGACATTTGGTTATGGTGAAGGTTTGTTTAAGTACCATCACAGAGAATCATGCATGCAGTATTGTAATAATGAGATGTATAAAACTTGTTCCTGAAAGAGTAAGACTTTTATGGGAAGTAGTGGTAAAAGTTTAAGAAGTAAAGTGAAGCTTTAGTGCTGCTACTTATAAAAAATCTATGCCGCGCTAGGTTTTTGTTTGTAACTGACATCAAGGCAGAGTAGTTGATTTTATTTTTTAAATATCAAGGTGACCATGCTGTTCTGTGTGTCAGAATCAAGAACGTAGCAGTAGCTGTGACAAAATCAGCTAGACTTCACCTGTTTCAAGCACAGGAATGGCGGAAGCTGCAGAACAGTATCCAAGATCACAGCTGTACAGAGAAGTTCTCTAAAGCTCAGCTGACAAGTGAGTTGCTACTTTTTTTCCCCTTACAAATGAAGTTACTTGGTATTTAGAACCCTGTTATCTGTGTATTTAGACTATTTATTTCAGTGAATTTGGATTTTGCATCAATTTAAGTAAAAGCAGGACTTTGGCCTTCTATAAGTAAAAATTATTACAAGGAAATAAAATTGTTTTGTTTGTATCACTTCAGAAGAATTTGTTTGCAAGTTATGATTTAATATACTGCTGGAAAATGGACAATTCGTTGACAAATAATGACTTTAATGCAAACAACCAAACTTTATCACCGGTTCTAGTCTCATGCTCTCACTTGTACACAACTCAGAAGGGGTACATGTTTGGCTGAAGTTTTCATTTACTCATTCAATACAGAGATTTTCTTTAACTCTGCTTGGAGTAAAAGTCTTTTTTTTTTTTTTTAATCTCAAACTTTTCCATAAAAAAGATTATGTTGAGTATTTGAAAGAATTTACAAAGAATACTATTGTAATATGAAACTGAAGAGCTTGAGAATCTAAATGTTTGGGACAGTCAAGTGTACAGTTTGAATTGTGACTTTTATTGGAATGAAAAAAATTAGAGGCAAACTGATGGAGCCTGCTGCAGTTACCTCTAAACTTCTGAAGTGAATGCTTGTAAGGTGGCAGTATGTAGCCCAAGTACACAGTAATAGGGCAATTTTGTACCTGAAAACCTTTTTTCTCTGTTCTTTTTTTTTTTTTTCTTTCACAACCTCATAATTATTAGCTTACCCCCGGCCCTGTCCATAAGGTCATCTGCGAAAATTAATTTCGGTTATGCTGCCTTACTTTATACCTTGCTGGCTTTATCATTTAATGTTCTTTCACCCTTTAATTTTGTAATTTGGTATTTATCACTGAATCTCCCATTCACATGTTTTTAATATTTGAGCTGATAATTATACCGGTACAGAATATAAAGGTTATCTTGTCGTCTTTTGTTTATGGAGGAAAATTTCTCATTTGTCAGGAGGATCCTGTTCTCCAGTTCCATGGAAATGGCATTTTTCAAAGACGAGAAAACAAAAATAAAAGAATATTTTCATGATAGCACAAACCTGTCACGCTTTGATGTACAAAACATGTTAGAAAATTTTTAATACAGTATCAAAGATGAGCTAATCAGGATAAAGCTTAACTTGAGTATCCATCTAACTTTAAAAGAACAGTAAAACATCGAAGCATTCCATTATGTAACTGGAAGACAAACCTACTGAAATAATCATTTTTGCACCATTTATTGATCGTAATATTACAAAACCTACTTAAAGCATACATTTTCCTTTAAGAAATTAAATTAATATTAGAAACTTCATTCAAATATACCTTAAGTGAATACAGCTTCTTTTTTAAACACATTTCTTCTGTGCAGCCAGAATCCCTAGATTAACAAATTGATCTCCTGGAACATTGTCATAACAAAATCTTATGCAGATGTCACTTCTAAAGATGTAGTTCGCTTACACTTGATGAGAGTTGAACATGAAGTGCTGCTGAAATGACTAGCAGTTGGTCTGTCACTCCTGTCTGTCCCAGCAATGGACTTGCTGTTTTCTGCTGTGTTTAGGAATCATATGACCACAGGGCGAGTTGGATCTGTTTGCTGATCTTGGGCAAAATCAATTACATTTTTATTTTATCTTACTTCATTTCCTGTGAGTTAGCTTGCAGATTTGATGGAAAATTGATTAAACACGCTCTGTGTGATCCTTAGTCTTGATGCAAATAACACTGTGTCAGAACTCAGCTGAGAGTACAGATGGAGAGTAAAGCCACCCCTGTTAGCTGCAGTTTGCCTTTCATATGGATTAAGCACCATACGAAATCCTAAAACTGTGTTTTTAAAAATCTCGGTTTTTTGAAGGGAGCTGTTTCACTTTGTATATTTGATTGATAAGATATGTAGCTCCAGAGTGAAATGTGTACTTACCATACTACTTACTAGCTACACAAGACAGATTGCCTGTGTTACAACACTCTCTTTTTTCTGGTTCATGTGTGTCCGAATTTGTACTTCATGACAATTGCTGCAAAGAGACACATCATATGTTTCTTCCTGGATCCTAATGTTGATCAGTTCATGCCTCAGAGAATGGAAAATATCTTCTTGAAGTTGAAACAAGTTTATATAAATTGCATAAATGTTTTTCACAGGTAGGCTTCAATTTAGAAATTAGTTCTAAATTTTGTCTACAAAATATTTAGGGATAATGAGTTTGCTAAGGGTTGTTTTGTAGGTATGTTTGCACCTTCTTCATATAGAAAGGCCTTTGCATAAAAAACAGAAATAGTTTGGTTTGTAGAATTGTAATGAATTTTTTCTCTTTCTTCATCCTTAGCCATTGTCATCTTAAACCATTAGGGTGAATTAATCTACAGTCCAGTCATTATATTGTTATTTCTTCTACAGAGGTGACTTTCACTTATGGCTGAGCTGATTAGCACTCAAGTTCAGTAATCAGTGTAACAGTATTTACTGTTCTTAGAGTTTCACCCAAACATACGGAGCCACAGATTTCATTTTCAGCAAGTGTTTATTTTGGAGAGATTGTCCATTTGTTAATAGTTGCTTTTAGGAAAAATAGTGGTGAGATCAATGAGCAGATGAAACTTCAGTCTCTTATGTAGTTGGTTTTAAATGTAAACTGATTTGAAATATGCAATTTTATTAGACAGTGGTCTCCGCCCGTAGCTGTCAATTGAAATTTAGTCTATTATGGTTTGGGGAAGATGCTGTAAAATATGCTAAGTTGCACCTTGAAAGCATGCACACTATTTTTTATCAATCTCGCATGTGGCTGTTCCTGTTCAGTGCTCTAAATGACTTTGAAAACAGAGTAGAATAAATTTCACAAAGGTATTTTTCGTACTGCAGAAGTATCTGTTGGCTAATACAAAATAGCTTGTCTCATCAATACGGTACTAGAGGATGGAAATGTGCTAAGCATAGGAGACACAGTTTGCAGTTACTGGCATCTGGCAGAAGGGAGCCCTCCCAGCAAACCCAAAAGCTGAGAGGTGGAATGCGGTACGTATCCTCACCAACCCTTGCCTGCGCCTGTTTGAAACAAAAGGCAAGGATGGAAGTCTGGCCTCTGGTGTTATGGCTAGATTTCAAAACAAAGACTGTTTTGTACTGTATGTAGTTTATAACCTATATATGATGTTGTGGATTTAAATTTTATCTTCAGTCAGAGATGAGTTTTCTAAAAACAAACTAATCGAGTATTTACTCTTTTTGTTTGTTTGTTTGTTTTCTTCCAAAGTGACTGTGAACCACACAGAGCAAAATCTGACAGTGTCCCAGATTCCTTACCCGGAAACATGGTATGTGTTTTATGTAGACAAGTTTACCTGCGAGGAGAATTATTCTGAATCCGAGGATATTCAGTTTGAAATGGTCTTACTAAACCCAGATGCAGAAGGGAATCCATTAGATCACTTTAGCGCAGGGGAATCTGGTAAGATTTTTTTTCTTAAAATTAGATTTGTAAGTTAAGGATCTGATCACCCAAACAAATCAGTATTTACTATGCTTGGGAAAGTGTGGCACTGGGGAATGGATAGCAGAGTCTCTTACATTTCAGATTCTACTTTCTCACAGAGAGTAAACTTTAATTCATTTTCTGGCATTACAGAAAAATCCTTCCCTTTCTCTAGACTCACTTTCCAAAACTTGCCTAACTGGAAGCATAGATGCACATGGAAAGGTAGTGTTGACATCTTTGCTAATGAGTATTTTTCCCCTGTTGAAATTATAAGCTTCTGCTTGAATGTGAATTTAATCCCTGATTTTAATGAAATTGCTTATTTAATCCATGAAATTCCTTAGCTGTGTAAAATTTGATTCTGTGCAACACGAGTACATGCACGATATAACATTTCGCCAATACAATTTCAGTTCAATGTTTAGGTCTTTCTAAGTATCTTAGTCACAGGCCACAGATTAGGTATTTGTCAGTCCTGATTTAATTTTATTTAAGAAATGCCATTTTAAGTCTTTAAACCTGCAAAGAAAAATTTTTTAGAAATGACTCAAGACAGCAGCTGAAGAAGTGCCTATGTAAAATTGTATGCTTTGGACAATCCAAACCAACCTAATGTATGCTGCGCCAAGGGAGATTTAGATTGGATATGAGGAAAAATTTCTTCACCGAAAGGGTTGTCAAGCTCTCGAACAGGCTGCCCAGGGAAGTGGTTGAGTCACCATCCCTGGAGGTATTTAAAAGACGTGTAGATGTGGCGCTTAGGGACATGGTTTAGTGGTGGACTTGGCAGTGCCAGGTTAACAGTTGGACTCGATGATCTTAAAGGTCTTTTCCAACCTAAATGATTCTGTGATTCCACGATCCTGTGCTTCATTGCAGTGCTTAGCTTCACTGCTCTGGGAGGCCTCATCAACATGTCACTAACCTAGGCCTGTTGTAAGGGAAGAGCCCGATAGGCTTAGTCTGCCTTCGCATACAGATTTAACCTACATACCCAGAATGAGCCTAATTGCTATGCTAAGAATTGTGTGCCCTGCTGTCATTCTTGGTCTCAAGAGGATATAGAGAGAACAAAGGCAGCTCCCTTTTTGAAGGGAAGAGAGTATTTGCTGAAACATTTAGAAGAATCTGTAAGAAAGTAGCACTGTTAATCATCCATTTTTCAAGGCTCATAAGTTGACCTGCCTGTCTCTTTAACTTCTTAATTGTGCTACAAACTTAGTTGGCAGGTTTTATTTGGTGAATTTTGTATCCAGAAGTGAATTCTAGGTTAATTTACATATTCTCAAAAAGCAGTAGTAGCGTTCTTCTGCTAAATCAAGGGGCAAAGCAGCTATAAGATATCATGTGGCCCTTAAAAGTGGTGTACAGACCTCCTAGAGAGGCATCTCAGCTCTATAGTAATTTTGTAGGAAGACTTTGAGCACTTGGATGCAGAACTCTGAACAGCTTGCTTGCCGAGCAAGGAGGTGTATAAATGTGTTGGATGCATGTATTTAGATCTAACAAGTAGGAAACAGGATGAACTTTACATGCCATGTCTTCCACGGTTGCAGAGGAACACCTCTGTTTATTCAGAATTAAAACTTGCAACGCTTGAGTCCTGAAGTTACATGTCTGTGTCTGCTTTCAAAGAACTGACGAGGATTTCTTCTCTCTCTCTTTCTTTTTTTTTTTTTTTTTTTTTAATGCATCTTTGGGGAATAATTTTTGTTCTTTTTCCATAGAAATGTGCTGCATAGAACATAGGGCATCAAAGAAAAGATCCAGCTTCATTTCTTGCTTCTTTCACTCGGGCAACTAAAAACTACATAGTTCCAGATGGTTCAAGTTAGGTCACCCTTCACTTTAGTTACTAAAGTTGTGGCCTGACACAGGAGATCTCAAAATTAAATGGACTATAAGGAAAGTATAGGAAAGAACTTGAGACTGTAACCTTGTGACTAAGATGTTTGCCTTGAGAGAGGAGGAGGCCTGGCTTCTGATGCCTAGCAAGTAATCTTTTATCATTTTATATGGTAGGGTTTTTTACAGAAGACATGGTACCAGTGGAACATAAGATTTCTAAGGACAGCTGACCAGGTAGACAGGATTTTGAAGATCTTTGAAGTTAGGTATTTGAAATTAAGGTACATATGTTCTATTTTCTCTGTCAACTCTAGGTTACTTGAAAGTCAGGAAACTTAAAAAAGACAGGTTGAAAATTACCCTTCTGTTTTTTTTTATAGTTATATTTCAGTGCAACTTTCTCTTAAATCCTTTTGGTCTCAAGCCAATCATCCACAATCTGTCTTTGGTTGGAAGGAGCTTTCTATCCTAAATGTTTTAGTGTTTATTAAAAGCTAGATGATTTTCCTAAAGAGTTTTCCATGTGTACCCACTCATCATGATGAGAAATAATTTATCTACAGAACCCTTGCCAACTTCAGTGGGTGTCTTTTGAAGCAGAAAGATAAAGAGTGAAAGGAAGAATAAGATACTTGATCTAAAACACATATTTTTGTCAGTCATAAATCATGCTTTTGTATAGGTATACAAGAGAAGCAGAGTTTTGTTTTATGAGTCTTTATTACCTTATGCTCTTTTTCTTCCATTTCACTGTATGTATGTCCAAGGTGATTAATTTCAGCTGTAGAAGTTATAGTAATAGCAACTATTCAGAACTCATCCAGTTCTAATGTTTTTCAACTTAGATATTGAAATATATGTAATTGCTCTGTTTCTAATCTCTGGGTAGAGCTGGTTGAAGTTTTTAGCGGAATTGTTTTGCTGCTGGAGGAAAAACATTGTTCAGAATCTGGTTCTGTGGGCACCACTTGGTTTCAAGGAAGGTTAGAGAAGAAAATTTTTTTGTGAGAAATTTCCGTTTACCCATTTTGGCTTATAGCTCACTGTCTTAGACCCTTTGGGAGCTCATATGGTGGGTTCCAAAGCTCCCGGACAATAGAAAAGATTTCCAGGATCCAGGTCTTCAGAGAAGCATTTTACCAGACTACTGCCAGACTGAAAATTAGAGGACTTCTGTTTTGTAAATAATATCAAAAACTTCGGGCATTTTTTCAGATTGGTGCAAAAAAATCCACTCTGTGGACTTATTATTGTTCTCTGTGCTATTTTTCTTTCCATTTTTCTTTTATCTAATAAAAGTTTTCTGTCTTGGTCAACTGCACTTCTGGGACTAACTACTTTATGTGGAGGAAGAGTGACACCCAGTGGTTAAATAGATTCAACAGAAGTCTGTTCTGGGTTTCTCTCATCTCAGATTTGCCTTTAAAAATTGAAGGAAAAACAAGAGCTAAAAATGAGTAGTCCTTTAATAAATATGTTTCTGACTGATCAAATGGGCTACAATTATTTTCATACAGTTTATCAAGAAACTGTATGCCACTTTACACTATTTCAGTAATTGCTACAAAGCTATTTGTTTTTGAACAAAATCTCTCCTACACTCAGAAAAGGTATTGTTGAATAAAAAATACTTTGTCAGATCAAACAATAATCAGCTCTCTGAAAAAATTCACTGACCTTCTTGGATAGAATAGGCTCTGATTTACTCATTTTATCTGTACTACCACTTTTGGGTAACAGTTACTAAGTATTTCCCAGTGATTGTATAAAAAGAAAAATTATTTAGTTATTTACTGCTAGTAGCAACGTTTCTTTATAAAAACTAAGCTGTATTTCTTTTTTCACAGGATTACATGAATTCTTTTTCCTGCTTGTCCTAGCATACTTCATAACTGCTTGCATATATGCACAGTCCCTATGGCAAACAATTAAGAAGCATGGACCTATGCATACTGTATTAAAGGTGTTGACAATTGCATTACTGTTGCAGGCTGGTTCAGCTTTTGCCAACTACCTGCATTTCTCAAGGTATCTTTGCTTATTTTTGCTTTCAGTCTTAAGACTTGAAGAACATTTTATTGTAAAGATCAGCACATGATCTTTCCTGTGGTGATTATGACAAAACATAGGACTGACTTTTTAGAACTACGTCATTGCCTAAATGTACTTTTAAGAGAGAACTCACTCACTTAAAAATATCATCTTTTATTCTTTTATCAGTTACTCTAAAGATGGAATAGGAACACCTTTTATGGGAAGTCTGGCAGAATGTGAGTATGCTTGTCTACTGTTTCTTACGTATTCTTACACATTAATGTGTATAATGCATTAGTGAATGCTGTTGTCGGACTGTATTATGATCTTGGACCATACCACTGGATTTTTAATATAAAATACTAGAAGTTGCTCTTCTGAAAAACAGGTTTTATTCTGGATGTTTACAATAACTGCATTTAAAGTTACACAATTGTGGTATTATTTAGGATTTTTTGAAAGATTTTCTTGTCTGAAGATTCCATCCTACAAACATTTCAATACGTGCCTATCATGTGAATAAATGTTTCAATACATTGAAGGGTTTTGCGGAGTTTGCATGATCTAGAGTAGTGAAGCTTTTTAGGAAACTTAATCGTATTTTATAGAGTATGTAATTTCACTAGCAAATTTAACATTGATTATAATGAAAAAGTGTTTTACAGCACAAGTGATACGATTAGAGTGATGCAGAAAATGCTTATGTAAAGAATTGATGTTAACAAAACATTTTTCTCCACTCTGTATAAATATTCTGAGTTCTCATTTTTCTCAAATTCCTATAACATGCCTTCCCAAAATGCACTAATTTACTCCTGCTGGATTCTTCAGGGTTAAACATTGTTGGGGGTTTTTTCTGTAGTTCACATTTAAAGCATTGGGGGGTTCTTTCTAAGCAAATACACTGCCTTTTCATTGGCTTGAAGCACCCCAAGAAAGTAGTACTGTGGTAGTGAGAAAGCGTTGGAGAGTAACAGCCTATGTAGAAAAATATTTCCCTTCCTAGAGTTCATTTAGAAGCTTGCAGTTGGAATTAACAGCCTCTTGATGGCACTTGGCACCTCAGTAATTGCCTCTCTCTTGTTTTAACCATTTGAGTTAGCAGCTCCTTGCAGCCTTTCCAGCAACTGTATCATTAAACTTTCCCTCTCGTCTCCTGAAATTAAATTAAATAGAGAATATGGAGGTAGTCATAACTCCTCCACAGTGAGAAACCCAGTGTTAATAACACAGCCAGAACTTCAGAGCTGCATGTTAGATTTTCTGTGTATGTATTATAGTGAAGAGCCCACTTTTATTTGCTTAAAGCAAAGGTTATTAAGAATAAAATAATATTTTTTGAATCAAGAGAGTTTTCCTTTCCTACTGTTTTTAAGATTCGTGGTTCCCAAAACAGTAAAAGAGCAGAAGTAATAGAAATGTGGAAAGCTTCAGTGTCGATTGCAATTCTGAAGAATGGCTGAGAGCAAGTAGTATAGTTTAAAGATGGAAGGTGCTACCATTTTTACTATATCAGAACAGAAATCTGAGTTAAAAGTAAATGGTAAAATTCCTATTGACCTCAGTGGGGCCAGAATTTTTTTCTAGAAACCTGTTCAGATACTATCCCAAGCAATTATTCTTTTCCTACCATCATTTAGTCTTTACCATGTATAAAGACCTGACCTTCAGTCTAATTTATCGCCTAAGTTAATCGCATAAATCGCACAAATAATGCTGGCACTCAAAAGCATCACAAATAGTGATCTTTAACTTTTGATAAGATTAAAACATGAAAAGTCAAAGAATATTATTATGCCTGTTGAACAGCCAAAAAAGTTGAATTGTGATGAAATCAGACAAATGTGGTATCAGCTCAGTAGCGTGTGACTTTACACTGACCCTGGATATCGTGGGATTATTGTAATTTTAGAAATTTATCTCAATCTTCTTACTTTCTGGCAATGTGTATGAGATGTCAAAGATTAAAGCCGGTACTGAATTTTTGTCTTATACCATTTTGTCTGGGAATCCACTTGAATTGTTGCCACACTGAAGCAGAGCAATATCTATATCCAAGATGTGAGTGAGAGATGATGTCTGGCTATAACTTATAGGGCAAGTTATCTTAAGGAGTGACAGAAAATAAAATGCTCTCTAGAACATCGAGATTTGTTCAGCCATTTCTCTAGCTTGGATTTGTGACACTGGTTTGGCATGCCTTGAGTTCACGTAACAATTTTTTCTAGCGAGTACTATGTCTCCATTGTAAAATAATTCCAGATCGTTTTGCCCAAAATCAGTGCCAGTTCATTTTATTAAAGAATGAGCAAGTTTGTATTTACTGAAAGCTCTTGAGATTTCTTAAACAGAAAAGGTGTCTAAATACATTAAGAAGCATTTAAGCATATAAACTGTGAGAATACCAAATATATCCCAGGAATAACATGTTGAAGTCTGCTTTATATCCATATTTTGCTAGTATTGCTGAGTGTCAGGGAAACGTTGTAGCTGATCTTCATTTGAGACACTTCCCTCGTGTGCATATTAATCTCTGTACAGTGGCAACATTTTCTATGCCAATATTTTTAGTTAATGTGGAAGTACATTTGTCTTTTATAATACAGTCCAGTTGTATAAAAATAGAAGTTTTGCTTTTGCGACATAGAAATATTTTTCTGGTACCTGATAGTGCAAGTGAAAATTACAAATAAGGAACAAATTTAACTGAACTAAAATATTAATCAAGTGAAAAAGAAAGCATTGTTATGTGTAGTGCCCAATCTCTAGTTTCTGAACCAAATTTGCAATTTACATAATATAAGAATCGATTTTTTTTTTTAACATCTCTGCTACGCCAGTACAATGAGCCAGTTTACTCTCAAGTCCAAACACCAACTTAAAAATTGTTCAATAAGTTTCAGTCAAAAACTTATCAGGTCTAAAGCTAACAATCACGCCCAGAAAGAAATCTTCAGTTCTTTCTACTGTCAGTAGTACTTCAGCAAGGCTAACAAGTAAAGGCTTTAATATATTCTAGCTTGAAGTTTTCTTTATTCAGATATAGCTTCAAACACAGGTTTGAGACACTGATTAAGAATGTAGCTTTATGGAGTATGTGTTAATTATTCCCAAACAGAGCGAAAAAATGGACATAGCAAAATGAGGCAAACGTAGTTTGCATTTAATAAAATGAAATACAGGCAAGTTGTTGCTCCAAATGAAGTTTGTGTTAGGGTTATTCATTATATTTTCCCCTTTAAGTATCTGAGAGTGGAATTTGTCCTAAATATTTGTGCTTTCTGTTGCAAGCTACTGCATCCTTAAGACAAAGTGCAATTAATTTAAAGTACAATGCAACTATCTGATTTTTGAACAAAAGTTTTTTCAGAGCAAAGAAAGGAATTTATTTGATGATGTTTCATATTTGCAATATGATTAACATACATATGATTTTAGTTCTTTAGCATTTATAAGTCTGTTTATGCAGATGGACTCCTGAGCCCAGACTTCTTTGACACAAAAGTGGGATTTGGAAGGATGTGGCACTGTGCCCGTGTTGCAGAACTGCAGCATAATGAGGGGAAAGCTGATAGTGATCTGTTTGGTCACTGGAAACTACTCAAAATATCCACATTTTGTGGCAAAGCAACCTCAGCTAGTGAAACTATCATCAGAATTATGACTAAAGGTGATACAGAGGCGTAAATGTCCATCCTTCATTTGTGGGTATATAGAACATTTCTCTTTGCTTTAGAAAAAAAATTATTTTTGTTGTGACTCTATTTATTTTTCTTTTGTTTTCAATAGTGTGTGACATAGTCTCACAGATACAAATGCTATATTTATTGTTGAGTCTGTGTATGGGTTGGACGATAGGCAGAATGAAGAAATCTCATGGCAGACCTCTTCAGTGGGATTCCACTCCAACATCTACTGGCATTGCTGTAGTAGTTGTTGTTACACAGGTTTGTATTTTATATTCATTCTTATACTGAAATATACAGCTGCTATTAAGTATGACGGAACCGTGAACCAACTAATTTCAATATTTTATGAGGGAGGGAGTATCAAGACTGGAAAAAAAAAAACCCACAGCATAATGTGCACCCAGTATGTCTAATAGGTAACAACACCTTCTCTTTACTTTAACAATTTAAGGTGTAGCTCCACAGTATGTTTTTGTTCAGCAGTAAAACCACTTAAGAAGTTCCCACAGTTTTCCAAACTCCTGGTTGTGCCAATTGTTGAGGCATTATATTGTAAACCAGATCAGTGGAATGATCTAGATTGCAAAAAAAAAACGAGATTTCAGCACAGTCATTTTACTGATCTGATTTATAATGTGGTCCTATAAATAAATAGTTGTAATCAGTACAGCTGAGGGGTTGTGAACTACATTGTGGGGGGTGACAACAAGCAGCATGACAGGAAAGATGAGAAAAGCTGCTGTGAGAAATTCTTTCTGTCACAAAAAAAAATTGAAATCCTCAGTGTCCTCCTCTTAGAACCACTCAAATAGGACGTCTAATGGTCTTCTCAATCAATATAAGGGAATTCTTGAAAGGTTCATGTGCAGGATTGGTCTTGCAAATATACAAATGGTCTGACACATAATTTCATTCAAATATTTTCCATTAGTATAAATTAGAAAGTCAAGTAAACCAGTAACTTAAAAGTAAATTGTAATGGAGATCATCCAATCCTGGTGGTGCTTTTGTAAACAAATTTTTTTAAATCACAGCATAAAGACAAGAGAATCTGAAAGCCATTGAGAAAGAGAAGAGCAGGGAGAAACTGGAGACAGTAATAAGGAAGAGATTATACTGAAGATTTTGTGCCATTTGAGTAGTATCTGTAATTAGTGTTGCTTCCAAACTAAATAAGTGGACTGCTAAAACATAAGAGTAGCTGGGAGCTGACATTTCTTGCTAATTAAGAATATAAACCAAAGGCTATTAAGGTCAATGGGACTGTTGAAATTTAAAGATAGGTTCATTCCACCTTACTTTGACACCCATCTAGCACCAGAAACTTTATGTGCTGGTAGTAAAGACGACTTCTAAAGTATTTAATTCTATTCATGCCTCTCCACTTGTACATACATATTGGGTGTGTTAGTATTCTGTCACCTGAGACTGGAAAGTTTTTTGTTGTTGTTTCCTTTTTACTATACATAGAAAGGACACTCAGTATCATCAGCTTGATCTTTTCTTTGGTTGTTTCTTGTGGTAAAAATTGGGGCAGGTATCATACATACATGCTGCTTCCCCCAGTACTGGTGCATTACACATTTGTGTTGGCTCTTTGAGCACCACTGGAGCATTGGCACAAAGTTGGCTATCTTACTTTTCACCACGAAGGCACAGCTCTACCACATCTCTCCTCCTGGTACAGTTGGGAATGTCAGTTTTGGCAGGAGTCTTGTGGGAACAGAATATGGATATCAGAGTATGTCGATGCCTGGGTGGTTTTGCACCCCCTATCTCAGTGTCTACTGTGTCCAGCAAAAGTTCCCTGACACCAAGAGTATCTTGCCCCTTCTGGAGAGGATGTTTTCCATCTCATGGTTCAGTACGTACAAAATATACCTTCTGCCAGATTTCTTCTCCTTAATACAGAATGTGGCTGTTGAGCTCAGGGGAGCAGGATCCAGACCACATCGCCTCTATCAAAGGTGGTGAGCTCAAGACTTTATTCTCTGGATTAGTCTGTTGTTCACTGGTCTGTCTAAATTGACGTCGGTGTTGGACCTGCTGAAACAGGGCAATCAATGAGCACTTTTAATGATTAAAAACCTAGAATAACCTCCTTTCTGTCCTGCTCTTTCTCAGAGACTCTTATGGGAGAGACAGCTTCCTCCCATGCCAGAGGTTGGACAGACTTATATGGATAATCAGAAATGTTCTGAGGACTTCCTGTGGAGGGTGCTGGAAACCACATGCATTAGCCTAATGCAGTAGATAGAGATTGAACCATGTTAGTGTTATTGACATTCTACACTACCTGTCCTCATCTTCAGGGAAGTCAAGCAAGTGGACAGCCTGGGAAAACATGTTATTCTTCAACTTAACTGCAGTTTTGACTAGCAAACTATCTGACCCTGTTTGCCTGCTACTAGTTCAAATTACTCAGCAAATTTTCAGGGTTTTTCCTCCTCTTGGTACTAATGCTATGGATTCTTTCTTTTTGTTCTTTCAGAAACAGCAGCAATTTTCCGGCCTGTGTTTACGTTGCCATCAGTGTAGGGTGGACACAGCCTCCTAGTCAGCAAATCTCATGTGGTCTTTGCGGCTGCAAAGAGGTAGCATCTCAAAGGAGGGACAAGTCTGCCATTCAGCATCTCCCTTTGCCTTAACTTGTTCTTTATTTCAGCCTCAGAACAAAAGATTCCCAGGCCGCTCTGTATTCATTAAACATTCCACTCTCTGCTGCTGAGACACAAACCTTGTTCAAAACTTCATTGATGGCAGGCCTTTCCCATCACATAGACCTGAGCAGTTTCAGCTTTCAGGGCTGATTAGAGTGGACTAGAAAGATAGCTGGTCACTTTGCACCTGACCAAAATGATATAGAATCTTACTGCATTAGACATCACGCTTCACAAGGGTTCTTAGGTACACCCCAAAGGTGTGCTCAGAATGAGCTCTGCCTCTGACCTTCGATCTAAACCATTTTTTACTGTACTGGCATTGCATGACATCAGATACCCAAGTACTAGATATGGTTAGAAGCAGCTAGTTAATCCACTTTGCCTTGCTGCTACTTTTAATTTCCCTTTTGCTTCCCCCTTCCCCTTGCCTCTCAGGGATGAGAACCTGCCTTTACTGGAGATTGATATGTTATCTTGGCTTGCCATAAAGTCGGTGTTGGCATAGCGAAGGGGAGGAGGGGTCCTACCATAATTGTTTCCTCATGACAAAAAAGAAGAGTGTCTGGTTCTTCATCGTATGGATATGGAGGTTCAACTTGTATATCTGGAACATCAGGATGATGTCTGTGGCAAACATTATTCTAGCATTTGAAGAGGAAGACCAGTACTGGACAGTGGTTGGTGTCCGCTGTGAACCAAGATAGGTCAGAAGTATGTGCAGGTGAAGTCAGGCATTTTGAACAGTGTATTATGTAAACAAGGAGATGGTCATTCTCCTTTACTTTGTGAAGAAGCAGTTGTGACTTTAATGTTGGACATAGCTAGTGCAAGTCAGCTCTTCAGCTACCTAGCTCATCCAGTTCTTTTGTCTACAGCCTAAGCAGAGTTGTTCTGGATGAAAATTAGGATTTCCCTCCTGATTTTTTTCTCAGAGTGCAAACATAGTTCTACTCACTGCCAACAAAAAAGTGTCTCTGGTATCCACTTCAGCAGGTTGGTGTCTGGGTGTTTTTTCAGCTTGTTCCTGATATTGCAGCTAAGTGAGCTGATACATGCTTTTCTGTGGTCAAGGTAAGGGACTTCAGGGCTTATTTACCTTAATTTCTCAGGCATAGCCAGCCAAAGAGATTTTGACTTCAAGATCATGCTTATCTGTGAAAGCTCTTCCTTCACTGAGAACAGATCGCCTAATCCATTGTAACCTAGAAACACTCCATAGCACAGATTTCTCTTTTATAGGATCCTGCTTTTCTCTGGTGAGTGAAAATAGTCCCAGCTCATAGTAAGAGCAGTGACACATATTCACCTTGTCCAAGTTTCCAGTGTGTTGCACTGACGGTTCCATCTCTGTCTCTAATGCCTCTGCTTTCTGCTTATTTTGGAATAATCTAATGAAACTGAAGGAAGCTGGACTTCTGTGATCTTACATTGCTGTCACTACACACAGTCTTTGATCAACTGATTCCTGTGTTGTTTACTCTTTAAAGGGCTAATCCAGAGCATACCCTGCTGTCAGACACTATTTTCTCATGAGGATTTGAATTTTGTTCTTATGATTCCTTTACTCCAGCTCTTTGTCATCTTCTCATGAAAGTGGCTTCCCTCATTGCTGTTACTATTGGTGTAAGTTAAGGAAAATTCAAACCCTCATGTGCTCTGTTTTTTAAGGTTAAGCTATCTCTGGGATCTACCTAAAGTTTCTTCTTAAAACAGTATCACTGTTCCATCTCCATCAGCCTATATTTCTTTCCCTCAGATGCACGCTTTTGTCAGGAAGATTCTATACATAGGTGGAGGATTTTTTTAGATTTTCTCAGGCAGTGTATGTCTGGTTCAGGGAAGTTAAATACTTTGGCTATTCCCAAGTGTAAATGTCAAAAAGGAAAATGCTCTGTACAAGACTGCAGTGATTTTGTAACTGGTGGAACTCTTGTTTGTTGCCTGGACACATTCTACCTGGACTGAAATAACTTCTGTGATAGGAATGCATCAATTTCATGACAAAATGAGTGCTGTAGACACAACTTTACCAAACACTGTCTTATTTCAGTCTTACTCCTGGACAGAATTCTCAGTCAAGTAATTTGATCATTTGAAGAGGTTTGCTTGGAGTTACCCAGAAATGAAGTGTTATGGTGGGAACATTTGAAGCATGTTGGTCAGATTGTTTACTAGTAATCAGTGATGTTCAAGACGTGCATGCTTCACATCTGTCCCTCTCCCACCCTTCCATTTTCCATCCAGGTAGTTGAGGAGTGACTGAAATGACAGTAGTCATGCTTGCTGTGTCATGGCCTAGGTAAGGGAGGGGAAAAGCGAGAGAGTACTCTCTAAAGATATTCTAAGTGAAAATCATCCTGTCTCAACTGATGAGACTCGAGGACACCCACCTTTGGAAGGCACAGGTGGATTACACATTTGAAAAAAAAAAAAAATTAATTTCAGTAACCTTTTTGTCTTTACATAGTTAATGTAGTGAGAGAGCCTTTGAATGTGTTCAGAAAGGAATCTGACTAATTTAGATTTCTAAATTGAGACATACAATGTCTTCTTCTGAAGGCCTTCAGAAGAGCTACCTCACTCATATAAATCAAATTTGCCTACCTTTCTTCAGAAAGCCTGCTTCATTAGACACCTGAAACCTAAGTGCAACTTAGATGTGTGCAGTAGGTGGACTGGATTCCAGTGTGTATTCAAGTCTTAAAATGCCATTCAGCTGCTACATGATGCTGGGAGAGTCTAAACTTTATGGGTATTCTAATTTATAACGTTAACATTCCCAAAGCCTTAAAAAGATATTCTTCAGCGAGACCCAGTTTTTATGCAACAAGTAGGCGCCTGCCTTCTACCCAACTAAGATTCAGAAACTAGGCACTTCTTAGTCTGTTTTTCTTTAGAGAATCTATCAATATTCTTTCTCACAGTGCTCCTACAAAATTGGATTCTGCAGCAAATGGATACAGTGCTGCGAGTTAAGGAGGATTACTATCTTTCGTGTAGTTATCTGTTGGCTAGAGCATTTGTCCAGGTGTTGGAACGGCATTTGGAACCTGTGACGCTCCGTTTCCTAGACCCTAGGAGGTTTCTGAGCCGGTTGCTTGCAGAGTCAGGCTCGCTCACAGTTTCTGACCTAGCTGGTGTTGAATTCTTTTCTCCACAATGGCACAGCTTCAATAGAAGGGGTGGAGAGTGGCCCACCCAAGAACAGCCTATAGCCTGGCAGTTGGGGCACTCTCCAAGGAGGTGGGAGATGTGAGCTGGATATCCTTTAGGCAAAGAAGGGAATTGTGGGAGATCCAAGTTCAACCTGGGTGAATGCTTGAGCCTTTAGGCTATTGTATAAAAGGGGCAGCAGCACCACCCTCTTACTTCCCCATCTTTAAAAAGAAAAGTGAATCCTGTTAGGATTTTGAAAGAAAAGGCGTAGTCGCCTGCCTTTGAAACAAGCTTTACAGGTTGTGGATCCCAAGTGGAATGAGACACCTCCCTGTAGCTCTGTGGAATCATTTCAGTGGGCTTCCTGATGAGTAGGCCAACAGTTTAACTAGATGATTATTTTGGATCTTATACTAAGGTGCCACATTCCTTCTATCCAAATCAGAGGAAACTTTAACTTGTCAAACTTTCTAAAAGTTACGGAATGCAAGAAGTGAGACACTGTTCCTGACAGTTGCACTTGGAGTAATAGGTAGTGCAAAAAAGCAGTTCAGGCTAGGGGTTTTTTGTGTAACATGGCGGTCTCCAACAAGCAGAGCGGAGCATGACCAGTGCACGGATAATTTAATCTGTGATGGAAAGATTCATTGAGGTTTAGCATAATCTTGTTTATTCTAAATGTACTTTGCTGTTGTTGTTCCTTTCCAGAGCTTTTTATTAATTTGGGAGCAGTTTGAAGATAGGAATCACCACAGCTACCATTCACACCATGGCTTAGCAAGCGGACTGCTTATTGGCCTCAGAGTTTGCCTAGCTTTGTCACTGGCTGCTGGTCTTTACCAGATCATCACAGTGGAGAGAAGCACGCTGAAAAGGGAGTTCTATATCACCTTTGCCAAAGTATGGGTTACATCAGGGAAACTAATCCCTTCTGCTGTAAATATAATTGTCGCATGCAGTTGACTGAAGCACTAAACTCTTTTCCTCCATAAGGAAGCTAATGTTTAAGTGTCTGATTTGATTAAATTGCACCCTGTCATCATACTCTGAGTAGTCATTTTAATTTGACAAGGAGTATAGAGCTTTTTTAAACAGAAATCCCACCTTTCATTGTGTGGTTTTCATTCTGTTGATTGAAAATTAAACAATGGGTTCATAAAATAGACAGAAATGTAAATGCAGTTCCTCTAACTGTCATCTCTTTCTTCTAAACTGGCATGTAGTCATTTTATAACTTACACTCATCTTCTCTTTCAGGCCTGCATTCTCTGGTTTTTGTGCCACCCATGTCTTGCAACCATTTCTGTAATATTCAGAGAATATCAAAGAGAAAAGGTATGTACAGGCAAGATAAAAGAGATGGAATTTGAATAGTAGTTGTTCTTCATGTTCAGTGTTTGTTAGCAAACTCATGCTCTTAGGCTGTTAATCTTATGACCCCAAAGCAACTTGAAAAGTCTTAGTCACACAGCTCTCATTGATGCTAATGTGAGTCATATTTTACAAAGGCATACAGGGTTTGAATCATCTAAGGGTAATCATTCCTAGGTGAAGGGCGGGGGGGATTGTTAAGTCAAAGGAAAATGTGGAGGGGGTGTTTTGTTTTATTGTTTGCTTGTTTGTTTTTTAACTAAAAGCACCTTGGGGATTCTTTTAACAAAGCTAATAGAAAGATAAATCAGTGGATTTTTTTTTTGTTGTTTGATTTTTAGTCTTCATCCTTTAAAAGCTTTATGTGGCTAAATAGGTCAGGGAACCTGTAGCTGAACTGTATTCTTTAGATTAAGAAATCTGTCCAAATATGCAGTTTGGTTTGTAAGCTCTAAACAGTTAAAAACAAAGGTGGACTACTGGGTTTCTCGGTTGCTTAAACATATTGGGAACTAGAGAACTAGTGTGTGGAGTCTGCCGTGTTCAGATAAAGTGCACTACTATTCTCAGGTGATTGACTACCTTATTCCAGGGTGGAGTTTGCTTCTTTTATTTATGGTTATAACCATCTGCGCATTTTTGGAAATTGAGCTTTTATTTGTGTAGAGGATATGTAAGGGAAAGAAAAAAGTTCCACTAAAAATATATAGTAAATGAAATACCACGTTTGATTTTAAAAAAAAAAAGAGGGGGGGGCGAGGGGGAAGACTCCTCTAGAGCTACTAATGAAGAGACTTTTTGTTGTTGCGTGATGAAAACATCATCAGGGCAGGGGGGCGATCTCTAGAGGTAGGATCAGTAAAGGAAATTTTTGCAGTATTTTGAGATTTTTAGCTTACTGAAGGGAGATTGCAGTTGCTCTGCTCTTGCATTTGGGCAAGTTTAACCATTGTGTGCACCTGCAGTTCCTACATTATGTTAATTTAGCTGTGTTTACTTCTTTAAATGCATTTCAATATAATGAAGAAATGCATGATCAATAAATACCATATTTGTTCAAGAAAAAACATCTATTTTAAAAGACTCTCTTGTACATAAACTTAGACTTTTGCTTTCTCAGAAACAGTAGTTACCTTTATACATTTGATAAATACTGCCTCATACATCTTTTACAGATGAAGAGACTTGCACTGAAAAGAGTTCTGGCTAAGTGGGACTGATAAATCAGTATCCTCACAGCTCCGTGACTGTGCTAGTGCAAAGTGTTTTCAGGCTTTTTTTTTCCCTGCTCTGTTTGTTTTAAGAATAGAATATCTAAACATCACCTCTGCTTGTGAAACTGCATGGGTGGTGAATTGCAAGTCTGAAATTCCCCAGAACAGAGACCGCCAGAAGGGTTATGTGCCTTGCCCAGGGCTATCTACTCATTTAAAAACACCCAGGTGTGAGAGTCTGAATCCTGGACTTGAGATTCATGTTCAAATCTTTTTGTAACCTCAAGCACTGACACGGTATGCTGATAGAAATTTATTTTGGGTTGTTTGGTGTTGGGTTTTTTTCACTTACTTTTTCCTTTTCTCTCCTTTTTTGTCTCTATAGATTATTACCATAGGTGTTATCCTCTGTCAGTGCATCTCCATGGTTATCCTCTACAGACTTTTTCTATCTCATAGTCTATACTGGGAAGTATCTTCACTGTCATCAGTGACATTGCCACTAACAGTATCCTCTGGACATAAAAATCGACATCACTTCTGAGGTGTTTAGGAAGAATACATTACGTAATAAATGTGCAATAACGACCTAAATGTACAGATATTTTTGTCACGTATATGTGTGATACGTTGGTTTCACTGGAAAACTGAGTGATAAATCAGAGTGCTTCACAGACCTTTGGTCTGACAAGGTCCCTAGTTTAATTTGTTAAAAGTATTGTGGAGTGGAAAAATCCATAATTTGGATAATTTTATAAATATTGTTTATGTGTAGCATGTGGTGCTGAGCTGTATCACAGAAGAGTACAACGAATCTTTTCTCTCCCATTCACAGCCACAAAAAATGTCCTTACTTTATATCAATACTAGGTTTGAAGGTCTTACAAAATGCAGTTCTTAAAACATCTACAAGCTCAAACAAGTCTGAAATAGGCCAGTTGTGAAATCAGTGTGATGCGTAACGATGAGTACAAGTTCTTTTATTTTCGTGCTTTAGAGAAAATGCATTTTATGTATAAGTATAAAAGAAGGGGAAACCAAAGAGGGAGAGTCCTCTAGAAACACATGTAAAATGTTCACAACTGACTGCGAGAAACTTTCCTTTATTATTGGTGTAAAAGAAAAGCCTTTTTTGCAACTAATGTTCATACTGGTTAAAATTTTAATGGGAATGAAAATAGGGTTTATATCTGCCTTTTTTTTTTTTAGATAAATGTAACTAAAAATTTTATCCAGTAATGAAGGTCTAAACAGTATTTGAGGCTTAGAAGACATAGCAACATAAAGGTAATTAAAACAGCAGGCTCACATCTTGTGGGGAAAAAAAAAAAGGCAAAGAAAATGGAATGGGTGATGTGGTACTAGAATTTTAATCCTGATATAATTCATTTCTGTTACATTGAGGATTCAATCATAATTAAGCCATATACACAGATTAAATTAACGGAAGCATTTCAAATAAATGTTGGTTTCAGTCATCAACTACCCATGAATTCCTGCCCAAGGATACTTAATCAGGATTAAATTTTCTATGAATAATTGAAAAACAAAATACTCACTGGATTTGTTATAATCCATGTTGGCACTGGGTTCTAAGTAGTTGCCATCTTCCATCCATTGTAATAAAGCTATACTACTTTGTGATGCCCTAGCATTCAGAAAGCCGGTGTAAATATATACTTTATTGAAGTGCCTATTTATTGAGTATGATTAAATCATGCTGACTTTTTTTTTTTATTTCATAAGAAGAACATACCTATTGCCATTGCGACTGAAATCTTTCTTTTTGGATTTAGTTTAGTATTTGTCAAATTCTAGACTTCTTTTCGTACATGCGTGTTTCTTCGCAACATGGATTTTATTTTCTAGTAAATGAATGTTTGTTTCTTTTTAACAGTGTGTATTTAATTATGTCTCTGCGAAAATGTGAAGACAGCAGGATTCTAGCTTTAAAATAGCCCTAACTTTTCCATTCACGTTTGCCTCAGTTGTGAGCAGAGTTGAAACATAAGTCTATTCCATTTTAGTTTAGAGGCAAAACTAGACATTTGCCTTTGACTAAGGCAAAATGGCAACATGACAAAGTTGCTCATTAAATCATCTCCTTTCTTATTGTTTGTAATTCAGATCAAGAATGGCAGGTTGAGGCTGGAAAAGATGAGATATTATGATTTCACACAATCTTCAGAATGATTAAAAGATTAATTATTACATTCCTCTGATAACCACACAAAAATATTATTGGTTAAAACTTCAGTCTTTATTTCCCTGCTTATCTTTGTATTTTTCATCTTCTCAAGAAAAAAGTATCCTGTTTTTGATAAGTCTCCAATAATGCAGTAGAAAAGTTCTATCTGTCCTCATGTATAAGACGTGAAATTCACACATAAAATAGAATTTTCTGATAGACACAAGAACTACTTTACAGTTTATGATCCATCATGATAAAAGTTTTAATCTATGTGAAAAAAACTGTATATGACTTTCAGAAGAGGCACTCTATTTGTTTTATTCTTCCAGAAGTATTTTCTTACTTCCTGTAGTCCCTCTGACTTCAATCTGTCAGTATTAAGGTAAATGGTATCTTAATTTCACCTTATAAATATACCTTATAATAATTCATAAAATGAATTCATAGTTAATCTGAGTGTAAATATGAAGCATAAGATGTTGTCTCTTTATCTTTTCCAGATTGCCCCATAAGTCAACAGGTAACATTATCCTCTCTTACTTTGGCATCGAATCCAACGATTTGAAAATAAAATTTTAATTTTGCTATTAATGTAACTGTAGCAATTATCACTTTCTCATGGTAAGTGGTACAAAGGACATGCATTTCTGCCCAGGTCTATTAGCATTCTTTCATAACCAACACTCACCAATTTTATGTTATTAAATCATTAATGCGTGCTCTAGCAGAAGGTCAGTATGATTGCAATAATACTCAAGGTGTCAGTTAATTCAGTACAGGGTATCTTTGGGGGGAGTCTTCAAGTATGACTAATTTGCAAAGCTTCATACTTACCTGTACTCTAGCTTGAAGCTTACTGCCTCTGGATCATGCCCGAAGTGGTTTGAGTACGTGAAAGCCTATCTCTTCATCCTAACTTAGATCTTTTGTGAGACCAGCTGGTAAGACCTTGCTTTTTTCATGCTTACTCACACAGTTACCCATTTTATCAATTTGGGTTCATAACCTCATCTTGAAAGAATAGCTTCCAGCCTTCTTTCAGTTGTCTTCGATCAGTGCATCCTGACTGGCAAACTTTCCCTTTCTCTTTTTCTAAAACATGCTTTCTGTCACCAAAAAAAAAAAAATGTTTTCCATCAAAACTGGGGCTCTTGCATACATCTCAGGAACTCGCGATGCACCCTACATCAGCTATGCATTAGGTGACAGCAGTGGACAAAAGCACTCCTTTGGTATGCCCATGGCCCTAGTGTGTAAGTGGTGTGGGTTTGTGCTCGCTGAAAGCTGCCGCGTACCCGGGGCGTTCTCGGGGAGAGTTGCAGCAGCTCCAGGCTCCCTGCCGCCTCGCCGCTGCAAGGGCCTGAAGGCAGCGCTGCCGCTGCTGACCCTGGTGAACAGCACTGTTTAGTTGAGGTCAAATGGCGACATCTCACTTGTGAGTTTCTGTGCATTACGCGCACAGAAATAAAGTTGCCATTACAGAGTATGATCATTCTATCGGCCACGTGTTTTGGTGCTCTGAAAAGGTAAGTGTATATTGACACAACTGCAAACTGAAGTTGGTTGTGCTCTGAAGAAATCCACTTCTATGTGTGAGAGGGCGTCTCCTTGCCAACCGTCACCTTTTCTACTGGCACAGGTGCCAGTTTGCGTCAATTATGATTTATTGGTTGCGGGGGAGGATCCCAGTTCAGGAGAAACGAGGGTGAGATCACCAACTCGGTCTACGAGACCCCCCACAAGCTGTGAGGAGGGATCATCTTGCATTGCTCCCGACCAGCGATACGGAGGCTGGAACACAAGTCCCCTGAGCTATTCGCTCCCCTTCTGTGTAGAATGTGTTTATTGTACATTTATTTAAACTGCTTCAGGTAGGAAAATGAATGTTTACAATTAAATATATGTAAATAGAAGTGGAAAGGCTTGATTGGAAAAATATCAAGTTTCTAATACATATTACTGTACTAAGACCTCCCACACAAGACAAACGTTTATAGTCAGATCTAATGAATATTCCTTTCTGGTTCCTGTGCCAATGGAGAGCCATGGAAGTATCAAAGTCTTTTTGTTTGCATCTCGATCCTCTACAGACCTGGAAGAATATTTTATTTGATTTGGCTCTAGTTTATTTTGTGCAATGTTATGCCTCTAGTTGATACTTTCTAGAGAACACAATAAATGTTTATTGGGCTGGCCAAAGCTGATGTTACGCTGTACCTTTTAACTCTTTGTGTGTGACTACACAGTGTACAAAGAGCAGGTGATCCTTGCAAGTGTCAAACATTAAGAGAAAGTCTTGAGCTGTTTTTCAAAGGATCCTTCTTCTCTAACCATACTGATAAAATCAGACACTCATTTTCCAGTGAACAGTAAGTTCCAATTCCAGTTTTTCTTAAACCATTATTTTCTGCAAATCTTTTTCCTGTCTTGCAAATACCATCACTCCCACCGCGCTCTCTCTCTCCCCGCCCCTCTCTTCTCCCCCTCTCTCACACATATGATTTTGAGTGTAATGGGTGTCATTTCTCTCTCTATCTCTCCATCTGTTCCCACGATCAACACTCGCAGTCCAGCCCCTACTTTGCATCTAGTATGCGTATTCTCTTTATCCTTGGTCTGTTTTGATTTCACGCTTTTCCTGTCTCTCCTTTGCCCTCTCTACCATGTCTTTAGTCTCCATAGCCATCAGAGACCCGAAGGTGTGGTTTGACATCGCAGCTAATTTGGGCTAACTGTTAGCTGCTAAGAAAAGTGTCCCCGTTCCCCTGGGTGCACGTTGCTCTTGCTTCCCTTGAACTGGCACTGGCTGTCACCTAGCAGTTTACGTGAGATGGAGTTGAGGAGTTAAACTGGTAGAAAACTCAGCCTCTAGCAGCAGCAGAAGAAAAAACAAATTAGTTCTCAGTGGTTTTAGCTCATCGAACCAGGTCATCAGGATTTGATGAGTACCAGTGGCACTGCTGGGGATGGGGTATAAAAGACGTGTTGAAGAGGGGCAAGGTCCCCTTTAGAAGGGCAGCTGCAAGGTCAGTCCGTCTTTTGCAAACTATCAGCCCTGTAACTCCTCCATTTCTCTCTCCTGTACGTCTTCTGCTGCATTTTGCATGCTAAGGACTGGCCTGTCCCTTCCCTTAACAGCTGTCTGTCAACAGTAGTGTCAGGGTTTTTTTTCCAGCAAAATGAAAACTCTTTGGCTGCTTTAAAGTATTTTAAAATGAACAGGATCAGTTGTGCCCTTGCAGCCTTACAAAAGGGGCCAGGAGGCGTCACGAGCAGCCCCCAGTTTGAGGAAGGAGTTTTGAGGGGAGAAAAGGCAGGCACCATGAAAACAGCCATGACTTGAGTGGGTGCCAGTTTTTACAACAGCTGGCAGCGCTCTGGTAGAAGGCAACCAACAAGGCCACACAGCTTTTCATGAGGTCTGCCTGTGGCTAGGGAGAGACTTCATCCGAACAACTGCAACTCAAAGAGCAAAGGTTTCCAGCAGCAGGTACTCTGGAAGGCTGCTTTTATCTATCGGTTTGTTCATCTGCTGACGTGTGACTTCGTGAGGCTATGGTAGGGTGGCGAGGATCTGTCTCACCTCGTGGTCAAAGTGCTGACGAGTTTGCCCAGGCTGGCGAGTGAGTTTGGCTTTTCATGCTGCTGCAACAACCACCCCAAAAAAAAATTCATTCATGGAGACTGCAAATGAGCAATCTTGGGAAGCTCTCCTTTTTTGATACAGTAGTTAGAGCTGAAAGACTGTACGTGTGCCTTGTTAGAGTGGATACTTTTTTTGCC